AACAGTTTTCAAACTAGCAGACGACAGTAAACAATACACTGATGAACTGTTTCTATACTAGCAGACGACAGTACACAATATACCGATAAACTGTTTCCATACTAGCAGACGACAGTTCACAATTCACCGATAAACTGTTTCCGAACTAGCAGACGACAGTACAAACAGTACACGATGCACAAATAAACTGTTTCCATACTAGCAGACGACAGTTCACAATTCACCGATAAACAGTACCTTAACTAGCAGACGGCGGTACACAATACACCAATAAACAGTTTCAAAACTAGCAATCGGCAGTACACAATACACCGATAAACAGTTTCTGAACTAGCAGACGGCAGTACACAATACACCGATAAACAGTTTCAAAACTAGCAGACGACAGTACACAATACACCGATAAACTGTTACCGAACTAGCAGAAGACGGTACACAATACACCAATAAACAATTTCAAAACTAGCAGACGGCAGTACAGAATACACAGATAAACAGTTTCCGAACAATGAGACGACAGTAAACAATACACCGATAAAATGTTTCCGAACTAGCAGACAGCGGTACACAATACACCGATAAACAGTTTCCAAACTAGCAGACAACAGTACCCGCAGTACACAATACACCGATTAACAGTTTTCGAACTAGCAGACGACAGTTCACAATACAACGATAAACTGTTTCAGAACAAGCAGACGACAGTACACAATACATCGAAAAACAGTTTCTGAAATAGCAGACCGCAGTACAGAATACACCGATAAACAGTTTCAAAACTACAAAACAGCAGTACACAATACACCGATAAACAGTTTCAAAACTAGCAGACGACAGTTCACAATACACCGATAAACTGCTTCTTAACTAGCATACGGCAGTACACAAAACATCAATAAACAGTTTCAAAACTAGCAGACGGCATTACACAATACACTGATAACTAGTTTCAAAACTAACAGACGACAGTACACAATACACTGATAAACTGTTTCCGTACTAGCAGACGACAGTGCACAATACACCGATAAACTGTTTCCATACTAGCAGACGAGAGTACACAATACACCGATAAACTGTTTCCGAACTAGCAGACGGCAGTACACAATACACCAAAAAACAGTTTTCGATCTAGCAGACGAGAGTACACAATACACTGGTAAACAGTTTCAAAACTAACAGACGACAGTACACAATACACCGATAAACAGTTTTCAAACTAGCAGACGACAGTTCACAATACACCGATCAACTGCTTCTTAACTAGCAGACGGCAGTACACAAAACACAAATAAACAATTTCAAAACTAGCAGACGGCAGTACAGAATACACAGATAAACAGTTTCCGAACAATGAGACGACAGTAAACAATACACCGATAAAATGTTTCCGAAATAGCAGACAGAGGTACACAATACACCGATAAACAGTTTAAACTAGCAGACAACAGTACACCCAGTACACTACACCGATTCACAGTTTACGAACTAGCAGACGACAGTTCACAATACAACGATAAACTGTTTCAGAACAAGCAGACGACAGTACACAATACATCTAAAAACAGTTTCTGAACTAGCAGACCTCAGTACAGAATACACCGATAAACAGTTTCAAAACTAGCAGACAGCGGTACACAATACACCGATAAACAGTTTCCAATCTAGCAGACGACAGTTCACAATACACCGATAAACTGCTTCTTAACTAGCAGACGGCAGTACACAAAACACCAATAAACAGTTTCAAAACTAGCAGACGGCATTACACAATACACTGATAACCAGTTTCAAAACTAACAGACGACAGTACACAATACACTGATAAACAGTTTCAAAACTAACAGACGACAGTTCACAATACACCGATAAACAGTTCCTGACCAAGCAGAAGACAGTACACAATACACCGATAAACTGTTTCCGAACTAGCAGACGGCAGTACACAATACACTGATAAACAGTTTCAAAACTAACAGACGACAGTACACAATACACCGATAAACAGTTTTCAAACTAGCAGACGACAGTTCACAATACACCGATAAACTGCTCCTTAACTAGCAGACGGCAGTACACAAGACACCAATTAACAATTTCAAAACTAGCAGACGGCAGTACAGAATACACAGATAAACAGTTTCCGAACAATGAGACGACAGTAAACAATACACCGATAAAATGTTTCCGAAATAGCAGACAGCGGTACACAATACACCGATAAACAGTTTCCAAACTAGCAGACAACAGTACACGCAGTACACAATACACTGATTAAGAGTTTACGAACTAGCAGACGACAGTTCACAATACAACGATAAACTGTTTCAGAACAAGCAGACGACAGTACACAATACATCGATAAACAGTGTCTGAACTAGAAGACCGCAGTACAGAATACACCGATAAACAGTTTCAAAACTGGCAGACAGCGGTACACAATACACCGATAAACAGTTTCCAAACTAGCAGACGACAGTACACGCAGTACACAATACACCGATTAACAGTTTTCAAACTAGCAGTCGACAGTTCACAATACACCGATAAACTGCTTCTTAACTTGCAGACGGCAGTACACAAAACACCAATAAACAGTTTCAAAACTATCAGACGGCATTACACAATACACTGATAACCTGATTCAAAACTAACAGACGACAGTACACAATACACTGATAAACTGTTTCAAAACTAACAGACGACAGTTCACAATACACCGATAAACAGTTTCCGACCAAGCAGACGACAGTACACAATACACCGATAAATTGTTTCCGAACTAGCAGACGGCAGTACACAATACACCAATAAACAGTTTTCGAACTAGCAGACGACAGTACACAATACACTGATAAACAGTTTCAAAACTAACAGACGACAGTACACAATACACCAATAAACAGTTTCCGAACTAGCAGACGACAGTACACAATACACCCATTAACAGTTTCCGAACTAACAGATGACAGTACACAATACACTGATAAACAGTTTCAAAACTAACAGACGACGGTTCACAATACACCGATAAACAGTTTCCGAACTAGCAGACCACAGTTGTTTTGCGAGTAAGGATAACTGGTTGCGTATTTCACTGTATAAATCGAATGTAAAATGGTCTGACATGTGGTAGGTTTAGCTGTTGATTTAAATACTTTGGTGTCAAAAGATGTGTTAAAGTATATACTGTGACATAAAGTATATACTGTGACGAAGCTAAGATGAAAAGCATTCCATTTGGTGTAAGAAGTTAAAAAATTCCTGCGGGGGAAAGTAATAATAATCTAAATATATTTCTAGATTGCTTAGCCAGTTGAGCATTCTAGCAAAGCATTTTATCACTGTATTTAGCAATGCACCGCTAGATTGCTTAGCCAGCTGAGCATGCCAGAAGAACATTTTTACAATAAATTTAGGAATGCCCTGCTAGATTGCCAAGCCATCTGAGCTTTCCAGCAGAGCATTTTACACGATATTTCAGAATGCACTGCTAGATTGCCAAGCCAGCTGAGCATTCCAGCAGAGCATTTTTATAATAAATTCAGGAATGTCCCACTAGATTGCAAAGCCATCTGAGCCATCCGGCAGAGCATTTTTACACGATGTTTCAGAATGCCCTGCTAGATTGCCAAACCATCTGAGCATTCCAGCAGAGCCTTATCTACACTATATTTTGGAATGCCCTGCTGGATTGCTCTGTCATCTGAGCTTTGCAGCAAGGCAGTTCTTGCTCAGTATTAAAAAATACCCCTTTAGATTGCTTAGCCAGTTGAGCATTCTAGCAGAGCATTTTAACACTGTATTAAGGAATGCACCGCTAGATTGCTTAGCGAGCCGAGCATTCCAGCAGAGCATTTTAACAATAAATTTAGGAATGCCCTGCTAGATTGCAAAGCCATCTGAGCATTCTAGCAGAGCATCTTTACACGATGTTTTAGAATGCCCTGCTAGATTGCCAAGCTATCTAAGCATTCCAGCAGAGCCTTATCTACACTATATTTTGGAATGCCCTGCTGGATTGCTCTGTCAACTGAGCTTTGCAGCAAGGCAGTTCTTGCTCATTATTAAAGAATACCCCTTTACATTGCTTAGCCAGCCGAGCATTCTAGAAGAACATTTTAACACTGTATTTAGGAATGCACCGCTAGATTGCTTAGCCACCTGAGCATTCAAAGAACATTAGATTCCCTATTTTATTTGTTCTGCTTTTTTATTAGCTCACTGTTAACTGCTATATAAGTTTTCACATACTATATATTTTATCATATTTTTTATTTCAAGGTAACGTGTGTCAAAAAATAAAGAAATCAAATATATAAACCATTTTGTCATATAGCAATAAATTAACCAATTCTAATTTTCTTTAAAGACCCATTATGCCTCAGGAATACGTTATTTGTGTCTTGTTACAGTTTCCAAAACGATTACTCATTAGCCTTATAGCTAAGCCAGCTTTTGCTTCTGTCTCTACTGCTTTTTGGCAATTATTACAGTTATGATGATTGAGTATTTGTACGGAAGTACTAAAATACTAATTTGCTTACATTTTGTTTCTTTTAAAACAAATAAATTCACGATAAGCACTACTTTCTTTGTGTCATCAGCATATAACATGCTCTGAAACCATTATTTAAACGTTGTAAAACTCATGTTTGCCCTTTCTAAAGAAGAAAAAACGTTTCTGAAGGCATAATGCGCATTTAAATTGACACTGTACAGCTGTTACAGCTGTACGTATAACAAAATAAATTTAACATTTTCAAAATACATTTTTAAACTTTAGGATATTTGTTGATTTTGAATAAAAATAATTTATAACACCCAATAGAAAATAAAATGTTTCCATAAAAGATAAAACATCTTACCTTTGATACAATCCGCAACAATATAACTCGCTTTGCTACAAACGTAATATATTGAGTATTTATATTATTTTATAATATGTGTAATGTACAATGATTGTCGTTCAGTCCGGTCACAGCTTGTTATAAAGTTTATAAAAACTTATAAAATAACAACTTAGAAAGTACGCATGTGTTTTTCAATTGAATAAAAAGACACAAGTCATTGTCCAGGTAATATTACATAACACGATATGAGGATGTAATAAAAGTACTGTTTATGTTGTTGATAATAATAATAATAATAATAATAATAATAATAATAATAATAATAATAATAATAATAATAATAATAATGATGATGATGATGATGATGATGATGATGATGATGATGATGATGATGATGATGATGATGATGATGATGATGATGATGATGATAATAATAATGATGATGATGATGATGATGATGATGATGATGATGATGATGATGATGATGATGATGATAATAATAATAATGATGATGATGATGATGATGATGATGATGATGATGGTGTTGGCGGTGATAATGGTGGTGATAACAACTATAATACCGATGATGAAAATGATGATAATGATTGCAAAAAAAGGGAGATCTATAATGATGATAACGATAATAGTGGTGGTGCTAACAATGATAATGATGTTGATGATGGTGACAAAAATGACATAAATGAATGATGATGATGATGATGATGATGATGATGATGATGATGATGATGATGATGGTGATGATGATGATGATGGTGACAATAATGACATAAATGAATGATGATGATGATGATGATGGCGGCAAAAACATGATGATGATTTTGATGATGGCATTAGGGAATGTTGATGATGATCATTATGATGAGATATATTAAGTGAATGATTTTCCGAAATATCCGCATAAATATGTAATCTTGACATTCTATAAAAAATTGAAAAATTATTTTTTACTCAAAATGTTATACTAAGTAACCGCCAAAGTAGAAATAAGCAAAATGCTATACTACTCTCACAGCGACAACATCACTTCTTAGAGAAAATTTAAAAAGAAATATTGATAGCTTGCCCTGTCAGCACGTTATCGCAGAAAAGTAGACAGGAAACTAGTATACTCATTCCTGTGGACTAATATTGCAACCTCAACGCAGTGATCTCCCCTTAATTCTTCGGAGATAAAGTGAAGTAACCTCTGGGAGGAGTTTGACATGCTTCATTGAAGGGACTGCACTAAGGTGTTTGGACTGGATTTTTTTCTCTCGATTTTTATGTTACATTTGATGACGATCAAAACCAAACCGGAGACCATTATTCCGTTTCCAGAATAATTATTAGATGACCCAAAATTGAAAAAGGTTGCAACGTTTTCACCTAAATCGGGCTAGGAATAGAAGATCTACACAAAAATACGATTTCAATTTATTTCTTATATATTTCCGATTTTATAGTTTGCATGCCGTTTCGATTTAACATTTTTCATTTCTGATATTCAACTGACAGTAAGTATATACGCTTTTGTTGTTGTTTTATTATTTTTATTATTATTATTATTATTATTACTTTTATCAATATTATTATTATTATTATTATTTCACCATTATTATTATTATTATTATTATTATTATTACTTTTATCATTATTATTATTATTATTATTTTTTATTGTTATTATTATAATCATTATTACTTTTATCATTATTAGTATTATTTCACCATTATTATTATTATTATCATTATTATTATTATAATCATCATCATCAGTATCATCACCATCATCATCACCAGTATCATCATCATCAGCATCACCATTATCATCATCATCATTATTTTTATTTTTATTATTATTATTATTATGATGATGATGATGATGATGATGGTGATGGTGATGATGATGATGATGATGATGATGGTGGTGATGGTGATGGTGATGATGATGATGATGATCAACTCTGAAAACCATCCCCGATCAACGGTTATATAAATCACCGACATAATGCGTTTGTCTTCTTACCATGTGTTTGATCAATAATTACACAAACAAACGTGATATATTACAGAAAAAAATGAAAGTACAACGGCTATGATGTTAAATTGCGCCTTACAGTGTCCCTACATGATTAATTAGAAATAAAATTATCAAATTGCAAGAAATACAAAAAAAGTTAAATACAGCTGTCAACGTGATGATTCATTCGTTGTTCAGTTATTTTCTCTCTTTTTTATAACTTCAGTGCATACAGTGCAGCTCCATCCGCCTACCTAAAACTAAACAAACAAACATGGTACGAATTGAGCCGCGTCATGACAAAAACCAACATAATGGGTTTGCGACCAGCATGGATACAGACCAGCCTGCGCAAGTTTACTTGTCAACAAATAGTTATTTCAAACTGACCAATGAAGAATAAAATCCGTTTACTGAGAATTTAAGAAATTAAAGCCTTTAATAAAGGGACGCTCCTGTGATATAAACAATATAAAACATAAATTTGTCAAATCTTAAAATCTAAGGGTTCAACTTTTTATCTATATTTTAAATAAAAGAAGTTTATACCTGTAGAAGATTTGTGAATTTAATGGCTCAGTTATATTTTGTATATACAGATACAATTTAATATGACATAAAAACATTTTTGTCTTTTTTGCGATAAAATTTGAAAGACTTTCCCTTAAATTTTGTGTACTGGCAGAATTTAAAAGAAAGTAGTCCGGCAAGACACCAGTGAAAATACGGAAAATATGTTTCACTGCAGTGAAAAATAAATTTTTACAGTGAAAATACGGAAAATGAAAATACGCATTTTATTCCATCAATATTTCTCAATATTTCATTTATAAGTATATAATAAAAACATTTATTATATCGTGAACAACTAAATATTAATTGTTTATCTTATTACTGTAATAATTTAAAAGTGAAAAACAATACGAACATTATCAATGTTTCTTTATTACGCATTTAAACTGCGCAATAAATGTATATCCAATATCTTTACGTGGGTTGCTAATTTTCATTAATCATTTATATTTTTTTATGACACATGCTGCAATGACAATATGCCATTTGTACTTTATACAACTTGATGTAATCATATAAGTTTTGTGATGCACTTTTACCCGTACAACCTAACATGACAATATGTTATTGCGTTGTTATGAATAAATCTTATGAATAAATCTGATGGAAAATTTTGTATAATATTATGTAAATCTCACAAGAAAACATTGAATTGTTTAGTCAAAAATCTTGAAATATTAGCAAACTTTGGAAACAAGCAATATGAAAACCAGTTATATGAGTTCTTTTCCTGTAAATTATGTCTTTAAGCGTAAAAGTAATACAAAACTGTAACCACTGGCAAGAGTTGTCATTGAGTAATATATGTCAGCCGGAACTCTTCAAATGTGGATTTTACCAAGCAGATCCCCCGGAAAGAACAAACATTTACCATAATAAAATTATCATGGACTCCTGATTGTACAAAAGAACCAAATTTGAGAACTTACAAATTAATTAATATTTCCTTCATATGTGAACTTAATTTGAAACGAAATAACGTTCATTATATATGCACAGTTTGGATGTGTAATCCTGCGATAATAATAACTGCGAATTAAAACCGGCAAATATAGCGGAGAATTGCAAACATTATTTACTTTATGCCAAAGAAAATTTATTGGGTACAGAGCTCTTTTCTTTTTCCTTGCTGTGTGCCCTATCTTTTATACCAGAAGAAGTTTTGTATTGGAATATGTTAATTCAATATATGAATTAACTTTAATTTTGATAACATGTAAAAAATATCGTATATGCTCAGATTAAAATTTTCTGTTTAGGTGACTCATAAGTTCGATGTGCCTGATGTTCATCTTTATATATTTGTGTGTCTGTATTGACATGTTCTGTAATTCACGTCACTATCATAAAGAATTATATTTTCTTACTAACTGTACTAACTTCTAGCTTAACAATGCTATGCCAGTCAAATCTTTAACTGTAAAAAGATCATTGACTCCAGCACTTTCAAGTTTTGAGAATTCAGTATCGCTCAATCCGGTGCTGGATGGGGCGTGTGGGATGCTTCACTTTTTCAAAACCATTCATGTAAGCACACAATCAAACCGAATCTGTAATTTTAAGTTTTTTTTTGCTGTTTTAAGTTGTTTCGAGGGATCACTTTTTACTAGATATTCAAACATCACGATAGCAGGTGTCAAGTGCCTTGTGGCAGCTGTAAAATGTTTTCTGATAAATTGGGATCATTGAGTTCAGAACTTTCAAGTGATGAGGATTGGGTACCGCTAAAGCTGGTGCTAGGAGGCGTCAGGGAGGTTTCAGTTTTTCATTATCTCTGTCAACACACAATCAAACCGAGTCTACAGTTTTCATGTAATTTGATTGTTTTTAATTGCTTCCGAGGGATTACTTCTTTCACCATTTATTTGTTTGGACCCCGGAATTACCTACATAAAATATCTGAAAGGAGAGCAATATCATCTCAAACATTAATGATAAAAGTTGTAAAGTATTGTTATGATAGATTCACACCAGGACTTTGGATACTCGCTTGTACAATGTTGTAGCAAATAGTCTGTTAAACAATTTAACAAGTAATGTATTTGTATAAAACTATCTATACCAGTTTTATTATGTTAAACTCTCATTCTTTCTTCATCTTCAGTTACTTTAGTTATTATTTCTAAATTTTCACCAGTATTTTCATCACATTCATAAGGTCTAAATAGGCCTGTAAAATCTTCAAGCCATTCCTGGGTAGATATTTTGTTTATTGTCGTCCTTTCCTTCAGTCATAGGTTGAAGTTTTGATCAAGATGGCTTAGAATCGTTAACTTTTGATGTCAGATCAAAAAGAGATTTTCTTGTATTCTTACGTCTTCAAATTACACTTTTTTAAATTCATTTCATTTAAAAACATATCTTTTCAAATTTATGTCTGACCTACAATTCCTTTATTGTCTTAACAGTTTATATTTTTGATTTTTTTTTTAAATTTTACAATCAAAATGAAACAATTCTGGTGATGAAAGATGCTCAAAAGTTATTTTCCAAATGCTTACCAACATCAGTGATACATATACTCAAATTTGATACACTATTATCGATCTTGATTC